ACAGATTTAAGAAAATGAAAGGTAGGTCAAATTTTGGGCCTACAAACCTGACAATGTCCTTTAATTTTAATGTGTCTGACTTGTTTAAGACGTTTTTGATCCTGATAATGTTACATGACTTAGCAGCAGAAAAAAATGTGAAAATGATGTTGTTAATCATGGGTGACTTTAATAGCTTACCTTGTTGTGTTTTGGTATGTTTTCTAATGCCAGCAAATGGTGACAGCCTACTTTGAAATCTCTTATTATTTGTGCAACATGATCACTTTAGTTACTGTTCAGTTCGTTAACACGAAAGGTCATTTTGCAAAAGGTTTAAAATACATTTTCAGAGCCTCCAGTATGTCAAGGAGAGCTTTCTTATCCTCCAGTTGTGAGTATGCCTAATGGTATTGGCTTCAATTCTCCCCCTTGGTGTGTGGCACACAAATGTGCACCTGTGTTTCAGGAGGTACAGAATTTGTAGGTAGGATTTGGGCGGGGGGAGGAAACTACCCTGTTTAGGTAGCTCTTTTTCTTCCCCTTTAAAAAGAAAAAATTACATCTCATGCTAGGTTGGTCTGATAGTTTCTAAGCCTCATGCTGCCAGTGGTATAGAGGTAATCATTCACAACCTCTCCTCCTTTAGTTACAAAGGTGGATGATAAATTCATTAATCCTCTTGTTTGTGAGACCCACAGTTGAAATTCTTGTGCATGGGACTGGCTTCCTATCAGGTTCTGCAGCTGAAAACTGCTTTTTCAGGGGCTAAGATTTTTTTTCCCCTCATAAAAGCTGGACTAGAATAAGGTTTTGATGCTTTTTTTTTTATTCGAAGAGCAGCTTGTCTACATTGCAGCTCTGAAGAGGTGTTCTTCTGTTAGCCACCTGGCAAGTGGCTGCTGCATGTGGGCAACTGCTCTCAGTCTGTGTGTGTGTGTTATACCTGGTACTCGTCGAAAATTCCAGCAGTCACTGCCACGGTGGCCCTTACTGGGGAAGAGCTTCACCAGCAGGTTATTTCCATATTGGAGGGAAAAAAACCCAAACCACACAAATTAATAGCTGGATTAGGGCTGTCATGGCGAACTTTTTTTTTCCCCTCCCCTTAAATACATTTAGATAACCTTAAGGGCCTGACTTAGACCCAAGAAAGCAGCAAGTTCAGGGTTAAGGCTTCTCACTCCATCTCCAGTACTCGCTGGAGCCCTCGGCTGGTGCTGGAGCTCAGACAGGCTCCTCAGATCCCTGCTCCCTACCCAGGCAGAGCGTGTGCCGCCCGTCCCAGGTCCGTCACGGGCCCCTGCCTCCCCTGCTCGGGGCGTGGCCCCGGCACCACAGCGGGTGTGGTGGGAAGCCAGCAGTGGAAGGGGGAAGGGTACCCAAGCAGTGAGAAGCTTTAACTTTGAGTTTCCTGGCTTCTGTGAGCTCAAGTCAGACCCTTAATGTTGTTTTAATGTATTGTTTGTGTTTAATTTTTAGTAAAAATTTGAACGCCATCCAGGCTACAGAGGTTGCAGTGGATAAGAAGTTTAAAAGCTTTGGTTCAAGATTACAGGAGGCTGCAAGAAAAATTAAAGACATGGAAATGAGGATGGAATGACAGGCTGCTATTTTGCCTCAGAATGCTGAAGATTGTAAAGCATTGAGAAATCGAATTCATGACCCTGGAAATCAAGCTCAGATTAAGAAATGTCAGGTTGGTAGGGGTTCCTGAAAGTCTCAAAGTTAGGATAAACTGAGATTGTCTTCCCATAACAAAGGTTCTAGGATATGGGGGTGGATGGTATAATTTTTATTATCTGTGTTATGTGAAATGCTATACCATATACTTAAATGAGCCAGCTAAGGGAAATTATTTTTAAAAAATCAGTTTCACGTTTGTGGTGTTGAATGTCACTTTTGACTGGTTTATGGTTATTGCTCTTTGGCACTGAGTTGCATGATTTACTGTTAATGCAGGCATGGAAAATACTGCTCTTAAATACACATTGCTTTATCCTGCCACTCCAAGGGTCTGCTGCAAAGCCAAACACATGGTGCAGTGTGACATTTCTAGATAAGAAACAGGCAGAACGTATCTAAATGGTGGAAGAAGTAGTTTTTTGTTCAAAGGGTTCTGATTCATAGTGAAACTGTGTCTTTCCAAATGTAAACTTTAAGGAGTGACTGCCGCTGTGATTAGGTTACTGTAAGTTTACTTAAGTGCTGAGTTATTGTCTGCAATTCAGTGATAGGGTATTTGGGCAGAAAGATTGTGCAACAGGAAGTCTACGCTGAAGTTCAGAAAGGATTTTGGCAAGCAAAGGTTTGTAGGGTTTTCATGGTCAAGGTCACTGGATGTATTTGAGTTGTGGGGACTCTTAAAGTCTCAGATTCTCTTGGGAGTGGTTTATCCTTTAGCTGTTTTTCTGACTTTAGTTTCTGTGCTTTGGGGCTCAGTCTTGGCACACCCCAGCACCAACATTAGACACGAGTAACTTGTTCGAAATCCATAGATAAACTGGCCTGAGGGGAAAACCAGACCACGCCTTTATGGATTATTGAGAAATCATTATTTTACAGGGTTGTGTTTTGTGAAACTGTATTTCTTGGTCTTTCTGAGGGAGTTCTACTCAGAAAAGTGTTTCTTAAAAGTGAGTTTTTAATGCCATCTGTTACCTCTTAGGACTAGATGCGCTCATCTGTTGGCAGAGGTGCTTTAGCTGTAGCTCTAAGGGAATCATCTGTGCCATATTTTTTCTCATTCATCTTCAACAATTTCAGCGTCAGAGTTCTGTGTTCTTTTTTTTTTTAATGTTATTTTAGCTAGTGTTCAGACTTGTTGAAATCCTACCGTTCCTGGACTGACAGTTAAGACTGTGACAATAACATTTCAGTTGTAAAATGAGCACAGTTATTCCATGTGTTATGAATCGGACTTGCAATGTCATTTCTCCATTTGTTTCAAGACATAATTGCATTCTATTAATGTTGTTATATATACTATTTCGAAAGAAGCATCAACAAGTCTATAACATGCTTTAGTTTAGGATATTTCTAGGTAAATTTACTGTGGGGTTTTATAATTAAGTTCCTGTTAAAGTATACTAATTATTCTCTGGATAACTATGTAGCTTTACACGGTGTATTCATGTTGTGTTTATCTCCTGTACCACATTATTAGTGCATGGTTTATTGACTAAAAATGACTGTATGAAGGTTATGTGGCCATTTCTGGTTCAAACAAGTAACAATAGTAAGTTAGCAAGAGGCATGAATTTTTAAAAATGGTATTAAAAAGGCTTCCATTTGATTTTGGTTACTGGGTATTACTGAAAGAATCTGTGTACCGGAAGTATTTCTAAGCATGCCTGTCACAGCAGAGGTTAGGAATTGGTGGTTTTACAGAGAATATTTTTCATAGGTGTTGTACCCATGGAAGTCATTGCTGGTGGATACTTTTCCCATCTGAATGCCTCTCTGCTATGGTGAGAGCACAGCAGAGTCAGTCCATTTGCATCGTTGGTTGTGGGGAGATGCCTGGACTAGAACAGAAAGGATCTAAATGTAGTGACTCTTGTTCTGTCTTCTTCAAATATAAAAACTGTTTGAATAAGTAAAGAGCTTGAAAGCCAGGTTGTCATAGGGCTGGCCTGTCATCCTGGTTTGGTTACAGATGGACATGAAATTTATGGGTACAGACTGAGACTGACAAGTAGTTGAGACTTGGGGTCACTTTTCCCAGAAGTTGGTTTTCTCCACCAGGTACCTCATAAAGCTGAGGTTCTACTACTTTTCCACCCACTTAAAATGCAGATGACTATCTTCCAGTGCATGCCTTTTGACACAGGCTAGGACTTAAGATTCAGGGATTGCTTGTAGAAGGTTTCTGGGGAGCTTGAGTCTTCTAATTTAATAGTTTGTATTATCAAGCAATAAGCAAAGCTTTTAAATTCACACTGCAACAAAAAATATGTTGAAATCTGCATACAAGAAATATCTAGCCTGCTTCACTTTGCAGTGTTTAAAACCACTTATTTTAAAAGAGGAAAAAAATAATGTACTTCACTCTTGGTTTTGCTTTTCCTTATCTCTTCAGGAAGTCTTTTTTTTTTTTTGCCACCCACACTTAGCTATTTTTCTGTAAATGTAATGTTTTAATATTATTCCCTTGAGTACTTTTGTATATTTATAGTGTTAAAAAAATGCTCTCTAACTATCTTGTTATAAGGATTACTTAGCCTTATATCCATAAAAAGGATATAAATGAAGTCTACACTTTTCAACTGATCTTCCTTCCCCTAGATATTTAGTGTGTATTTCTTTGTCACTCTGCAGTGTTCCAAGCATGATGTTGATTTAGGGAGGGACATTTTATTTATATTCTGTAAGAGTTTTCACTGGTGGATTAAGTATGATGTGTTTGTTTGACTAAGCTATACAGAATTGTTTTGTAAAACCTTACGAGTCTTAAGCAGACCTACATAGATCAGAAATTAGCCTGTATGCTTAGATGTTGAATCTTGAGAAAATTCAAAATTTTGCTGTTGTAGGCTTTCATTCAGTTAAATTTTAGTTTTCAGCAGATGAGCATCAGACATGTAAATTGAATACTCAAATCCTCAGTGAGTTGCTTGTGATATTCCATAAGCTATACTCTTACAAGCCTGGACAAGATATTTCTCACTCTGTCTAGAGCTCACAAAGGTGTAGAATCCAATCAAAACATGTATCTTGGATAACATCACACAGACACTTCTTAATAGTGCAGTGAGGATGTATTTTCAAAAAGCAAATGTAGTATCCCCATGGTGGTTTTATCCATCTTCCATTGTTCAGCCTCCTGAATCTCCATGGCATTTTGTCCTTAAGTCTTCTGTGATTGTTTGATTACCGACTATAAACTCATTCCTGTTTAACTAGCTTCAGTCCTTGAGATCTTTTTGTGCCATCAAAATAAACAGGATAACTGTAACCTATTGTTTTTGTTACATTTGTGTGGCTTGAATAACAAGTCTTCTCTGTTTCTCCTCAGGCATTCGACCTCCGATCATGAATGGGCCCATGCACCCACGCCCCTTGGTAGCGCTGCTGGATGGCAGGGACTGTACAGTAGAAATGCCTATTCTGAAGGATGTAGCCACAGTGGCATTTTGTGATGCTCAGTCTACACAAGAAATCCACGAAAAGGTAATATTTAGAGATATAACTGAAGTGTTTTAGAAAACAAATATTTTCATGATTATAGTGTGTTAGCTATGACCATGTGTTTAGCTGTTGCATTCTAGTGAATGGTTAATTACCTGAGTAAGTGACTGATAGTTTCTAACAAGTGATGAAACATGATGATGAAACAAAGATGAAAATGTTTATGTTGAAGTGTGTGTTTGTGTAGGGTGCCTGCCTGAATGTTGTCTATTTGCTTACCTACTGAATTAGATTCATGGAGAGATTTACCTCTGGGAAAATGACAATATTGTGCTATTTTGAAATGCTTCTTGGAAATGCTGTTGCACAGCCTTCAGCTGGAAAGCCAAATCTCAGTATTGGATTGGCCTTGTGAGGAACTTTCAAACTTGTATGCTTAGCCAGGGAATCATGCAAATTGGGTTAGGAGGCCTTGTGCACTGAAAATTGACATTGCGGGAGAGTTTCACAACACATGCTGACCCAAAATGTATATAGAAAAGGAATTCTAACTGTATGTTATTCCAGAAGTTCACACCCTTCCTGGTGGTTTGGGAGCTGTGGAACAGCTCCTGTTGAAGGTTTTTTATTTTCTTAGATGCCCATTTTTTGTGGTGATAGCTAAGGGACACAGCTGGCCTGTACACCGGCATTTTTCTCTTCAGAGACTTTTGTCATCATGAGGGCCTCATGTCTACCCCAATTCCTTGCTCCTCTCTAGACAGCAGCAGAAGCTTTTTACATCTGTATTTCTGTAGAGGTAAAATTAATCGTGGTGAAGTTGTTGGCTAGCAGAGTAAGCCTCAAATGACAAATAGTCCTTCACCTGATAAATGATGAAATCAGGCTTTACAGCTTCTGTGGAGGAAAAAACTGAAATGAATATGACAGCAGAGGAGGAGCCAAGTGCAGAGGAGGGCAATCAGGAGGCTCTTCCGTGGGAATTTTTCTTCTCCAGCAAAGATCCTTGATAGACAAGTACAGATCCAAGTGTTAACTGAAAGGCTTGTTAGGTAAGTGTCTGTATCCACTTCTGTGTGTGTGGTGCTGCTGAGTGTGATTCAGGTGTTCAGGAGTTGTGTCAGCTGAACCAAGCTGCACCAGCATTCTTGTTTTTCTACAGTTACCTTGTTCGACTTGTCCTACACTAATTACAGCAGCTTTTGGGTTTGTGACAGGTTTTCAGAAGCTTTTCACTGTTTTGAATTCATAACTGGTATAATTGTTTATTTACTTTTCATGTTCTTGTAATATATAGCATTGTTAAACATTTTAAAGTCTCTGCATATGATGAAAGATTTAATCTTTTCTTTGATGACTTTCTTACAAAGTCATCTTCTTGAAAACAATACCAAATACTAACTTCACTTCTGTTACCAGCTGAATAAATCTCCTTTTCTGTACTCTATTTCATAGCATTTTCCTAGTGACAACCCCCTTCTCCCCCCCCCGAAATAGGCTGTTGTCAGAACTCTGGTCAAGAATGATATTCATGGTTGTTTTCTGTCACATAGTACTGGCTTAACACTGTTACCTTGCTTTGTGCAGCTGGATTTTAGATACAATAAAATTCTAATCTAATTTTCAGTTCATTAGTTGTTTCTCACAGGATTGTTTAAACTACTCTGTTTAGATGATTCTTGAATTATAAGCTATATTCATAGTAGGCAATGTTATGGTTCTGGTTCCATGTCTTTTTTTAATATGTTTATACTGTCATATAGAAGACCATCTGTAAAGTGGATGGACAGTGGGATTGCATCAACAGAAAACCTGAACTCCTGTGTTCTTGTGATCTTTTATCTTGAAACAGTAAGGTTTTACCAATACCTAATGCTAATTTCAACCCTCTTTTTAACCTCTGTTGAAAAAGACGTGTGGGGTTTTTGCCAAACATACAAGTGAAACTATTCAGTATTGTGGCAGTGAATGAGAACCTAAAACTAACCTGGAAACAAATGCAAGGAAGTGAAAAGCTTTCTGCCTCCATTGGTAATTTCAGATGCATAGAAATGGATACTGGGGTTTGGTGTGGTGTTTTGTTTTTTAATTAAAAAAGCTTAATTTACAAGGATCAGAGACAATAATCTAAGTATAATATTTTTAATAATTAAGTATAATGCTTTTTTATTTAGGGGAATAGTCAACCCAAGCTTTTTTCTGTGAATTTCATTTTATCTTTTTAGATATTGAAAATTAAAATGTGATAGAGTGCCTTATTTCTTCGTATTTCTTTTAAATCATGTTGAAAAGTTGCTTTTCTCTTAATGTTTTCCTGTCTTGCACCACTGTCAGAAGTTCAGTATGTGCAATATCTGGATTCCATTTATGAGGACTAAGTAATATGTGGAGAATAAGTAATGTGAATGCTGTTTCACCTTTTTTTAGCAAATAATAGCAGTCCACTCTTTAGGTGAACATTGACAACTGCACCATCTGTACAGTTTTATGCTTTGCTTACTGAAATCAGTTACTTCTGATGCATCAAGCCTGGGGAATTCCTGTGTGACATGAGTGCCTTGCTATAGAAACACTCAATACTTTCTGTTATCAGTGGGGTGTAGTAAATGAACTTTTCACATCTTGAGACTGAAAGTCAGTGTATCTCAGACTATAGCTTCGGAAAAGCATTTAAACAACTGAGTAACACAGGTAGTCTGTTGTTAATCTTCACAGGAGTGCTTGTATTTTATACTAATGTTTGCATCCTTTCCTTTTTATTATACCAAAATAATTCATTCTTAAGTGAGCTCAGTAATATAGCTGGAAAGTGTATTTTCATTAGCTACCAGTACACTGCCATAATAAGATTTTTTTGTTAGGCTGAAGAGTGGTGCAGGCTTAAAAGTGTTTGGGTTTGCAAAGTAACCACTGCTCTGCCAGGTAATAAATTTCTGCAACAAAAATCACAAACCCTAAGTCATTATCATATTGTTGTATTACTTTAGACTTAAGAGATCGGCTTTATGAAGTGTTGAGCAGTGTTCACTTCCGTTTAAAAAGTGTTCACTGTTCTTCAGTGAAAAATGGCTATTTTCCTCACATCTTTAGAGTTACAGTAGAGAAATATCTGTGCTTTAGTTCTGCTTGTGTAACACCTTATTTGGCGATGGTACTCTACTAAATATAAAACTGTTTTCAAGAAAGGTTTGTAGAACTTGTGTATTTAAAGTGGTATCTAAAATGTTCCTGTATTTATGAATGCACATTCCTAGCTCTACTAAGTGATGCTGCCCTGTTAATTAACATACAGATTTTTGTTATTGATGTTAATTTGCAAAAGACTGTTCCCCATTGTGAAAGAAGAGAAGACTGAAAAATCAGGAAAAAATTTAGTATTGAGAAGAGCTTGCTGAAAGAAGGTGAAATTTAGTTTTTCTTTCATTTATTATTTGTTTTTAAGAACAGATACTGAATTTACTAGGGTAGCAGATTTTTAGTACATTTAGGTAGATTTTTGTTGGTTAGATTTCGTTCTTAGCAGAGACGGCGTTACTGTCGATAGGAGTTAATGTGTTTAAATTGTTTTTATTTTACAGTTAATCATGTGTAAATTGGTCTTTTCAGCAAACATCTCAGACTGCCTCCAAACGTACGTGATGTTTTGGTTTGTTCTGCCAAAACCACAAAAAATAAAAATCAAAAATAATTAGCTTGCTTCTGTCCTCATTCCAGGTCGACCTGCTTTTTTCAGTGTCTCATCTTCTGTCATCTCTCTCCCTCTTTTTTCCCTAATCCCTTTTCCTTTGAGTACCATTCATGGTTTACTGTTTTTCCTAGATCCTTGGCAGCCTACCCAGCACTTGTGATTTCTGCAGTATTCTTCCTTCTTTCCACTTCTGTACCTTCAAAGGCATCACAGGCTCAAGCACACCTTTGAGGTCTTTGCGTTGCTTAAGATTTTTGGAGTTCAGAGTCTATTCCTTGGGCTTCCTGACTTGAGCTGTATTTTCTGTAACATACAGTGCACTGTGCAGCTCCAGAGGGCTAAACGTAAATGTAATATGCAGGATCTGGTAGTAGGTGTCATAACCAGGCAGAGAGAAAATAGTGAACTTTGCAAACCCAAATTATTTTTTTTTAAGCGACAAAAAATTAAAAGCTGAACTTCATATTCAGTGGTGTAGGACTTGAAATTTTTCAATTGCACTTTTACATAGGAATTAAATGTAGAAACCATTCCGTTACAGTTTTATCTAAGACTGCTTCAAAGAAGAGCTGAAGAGTTTTCATAATGGAACAAATGTTTTGAAACTGATACAAACAAATGAAGTATGGTGCTTCAGCTGAGTTCAGCTGAGTCTTTGATTTAGTCCAGTTATATCAATGATTAAGATAATTTTTCCAGCTTCAGCTTCTTTGTTTAGCAGTAAGGCTGCAATCTTGTATTTGTAGCATCAGCACTGTTTATATTTGTGATGCAATTGCAGCATTTTAGTTTTCTATCAAAATTAAATTCTGAAAGAATACAGATTGAAAGGAAGCTGCTTTCTTCTGAACAGTTTTGTATCCTTGGGAAGAAATGTCACCTCTAAGCTAATCCAAACCATTGTGTGTTACTGAAACCGAATGAGCCTGGGATCAGATTCCTTAGGAAAGACTTTGAAAAAAGTTAACAAAAGAAGATCCTAAAAATTTTAATTACACGTCATTATGCAACAAAGTAGTTTACATCCTGACTGTGATAGCTGTATGTTTACAAAATCTGTGTTTGTATTTGGTGACCTTTCTACCAACACGTGTCAGACTTGCCAGTGGCAGTATTAGAGGCCAAGTGCAGCGGTGCAGGAAGGGGCAGGCTGCCCGTGTCTCCTCTGAACTGATACCCTCACAGAGCAGCATGGAAGGGCTGCCTCACCCAGCAAGCAGCATGTGTCAGTCTTACAGAAAAAATGTGAGTCTAACAGAGCTGATCATCAGCTAGCTTTTGGGGGGTGTGTGTGGTTTTTTTTTTTGTCTTTTTTTTCTTTTTTTTTTTGGTTTTGTTTTTTTTTTATTTCCCA